CTCTGTGATTTTGACATATGAATTTCTTTTGAAGTTTCTGATTATTGTGTGAGACTTAAGCCTTCAAGTTTAGGTCTGCTTCTTTTTGTGAACTTCCTGTGTCTTTGTGGTTTACTTTTTGGGCATGAAAAGCTGGTTGCTCTAAGCTTCTGGTTCTTTCTTTTAATTTTATATTAGAGTGGCCAGATTGCTTTTGTCTTTAGGAGTTCCCACAGAGGCCCAAGTCAGATGAGGATCAAATGCTCTCAGGCTTTCTCCTAAGGTCCTGGTCTCTCCAGGAAAGATTTTGGCCTCAGAAATTTGGGGGTTGGACTGGCCTGGGATCTGGGCCCAGGAAAGATGCTGGTCAAGGGCAGCTGATGGCTGTGCCACCCAGAGATGCAAAGGAAGATGGAGACGGGAAGCAGCCCCAAGGCCTCCTGGGGACTGAACTGAGGAGCTGGGTTGGTCTGCATGCAAAGGATCAGGAAAAGGAAAGGTCAGCCTGGCCTCCAGGAAAGAGGCTGGAAGGTCGTTCAGGCCCAGGGAAGTAGAGGGAGGTGAGGGCAGGACCAGGTCCAGAGTGCTCCTGGGGACCCAAGAGGTAACTGGGTTGGTCTGGATGCAAAGAATCAGGAAGCAGTGGTGGTTCCCCAGGTGTCTGGAATGCCAAGACAAGGAATGGGACAGGATCCAGGCTAGGAAGATAGAGGGTCAGGGGAGATGGGAGGGTGAATGAGCCTGGGGGAGTCAAGGCTCAGAGGGTGCAATCAACTTACTCTGGAGAGAGGCCTGCAGGTCATGCAGGCCCAGGGAGGCAGAGGGAGCTAATTTGAATTTTTTATTGAGTATTTCCTACATGAGTATCATTTCCTCCCCTTCCTCTCTGCCTCCAACTCCTCCCATGTTGTCCCTACTCCCTCTCAACTGCCTGACTTCTTTGATTCTTATTGTTATGCATATATACATATGTACATATAAACAGCCTACTGAGTCCATTTAGTGGTGCTAGTATGTACATGTGCTTATGGCTGACCACTTGGAATTGGATAATTTATCAGAGAACTCATCTCTGGACAAAACTGAGTCTCTTTCTGTCAGCAGCCACTGATTGCCTGCTCTTCATCTGGAGGTGGGAACTTGTGGAATTTTCCCTATCCACATTGGCATGTCAGCTGGTAGAGTCATTGTGTGGGTGTTGTTTAGGCAAACATTGTTGATATTTCATGGGTGAAGCTTCTTGTCATGTGTGGATGTCATTATCTAGCAGCAGGTGTCCTGGTTCTCTGGCTCATACAGCTTTCTGGCCCCTCTTCTGAAATGTTCCCTGAACCTTAGGTGGAGGGGTTGCATTTTAGATGTATTAATTGGGGCTCAGTACCCACAGTCATTTATTGTTTGCATTTTTACTAGCTGTGGAACTTTGTAATAGTCTCCATCTGTTGCAAAAAGAAGCTTCTTTTGCTGGGGTATGGTGGCATATGCCTTTAATCCCATTACTCAGAAGGCAGAGGCAGGCAGATCTATATGAGAGAGGAAAGCCTCATCTACATAGCATGTTCCAGGCCAGCTGGGGCTACAGGGAGACCCTGTCTGAAAAAGCAAAGCAAAGCAAACAACAGAAGCTTCTTTGATGAGTGGCTAGAGCTATACTTACCTGTGGGTTTAAGGATAAGTATTTAAAATACAATTAGAAATTGTATTGATATAGGGAAATGGTTGCAGGAAGTACTCCTCTAGGGTCTATGACCTCTCCAATCATGGGTGTTTGGCTAAGTTGACAGTATCAGGCATTAATTCCTGAGCAGGTCTTAAGTCCAGTTGTACAGTTGTTGGTTATCCCTAAGATCAAAATGCCACTATTGCACCATTTGTGAGATCTTACTGGGCCTGTCATTGTGGTTTATAGGCTTTATAGCTGGTTAGGACCATTGATTGCTTTTCTCCCCTTCTGGCTGGCATAGCAGCTTTCGTTACTACAACTTGAGAGGAGGCTTCCGGATCAGTTCTAGTTCAATTCCTCCAAGTCCTGTGACCAAAGTGAGTGGTGTCTCCACCAATAACATCTTACCTTCAAGTTCTGAGAGGCAACCAAGGGCAATGGCAATAGCCTATATTGTTTTGGGAGTCTCTTTAGCTACCCTGACAAACAACCTGAAAGGAGGGTTCACATGCCCAGCACTGAGTTTTTTTGTTAGAAAAGGCCGCTACATTCTTAAGCCATGAATTTTTAAATTTTTATTGGTGTGTCTAGATCTTAAAACAGTTTGGAATTGATTTGTGGCTGTCAAGTGCTATGAAAACATTACTGGTAAACTGAGGGTCCTGTGAACCAAGAAAGTTTGGAAATCTCTAAACCACCACATTTTAAAAAATTTATTTTATTTATTATTTTAATGTTGATGAATCCTTTAAGTTTGCTGCTTTTGTTTTCCTGAAAACCATCATGGAAGGCCAAGTTACACCGTAGGAAGTTTCTCTGATTTGTTTTCACATGTGTGCACATAATTCTTGGGCTCTGAAGCTAAACTAACAGTGAACTTAGGTTTAGTTTTAGTTAAGGTAGTTCAGGAGCAGATCATCTTCCCACAACTCCCACTTCTGGAATGATATTTATGAGGTTACAGCATGGTAGATACAGAGTAAAAGCTCCTTTGAAGAAACCTCCTAGTGACTGAGTTCTGAGAAGGCTGGTTTTCAGGAGATACAAACCAAGAGTCAGTTCATTCTGCTTGATGAAGGACTTGATACGTTTCAGTTTGGCATATTATTATTATTATTATTATTATTATTATTAATCCTGGTTCTTTTTTCCCCTCAATGTATACTTTTTATTGAATTTTTGTGCATTTCATACAGTACATCTTAATCATATTTAGACACCCACCCCTCCCCAATAGCCCATCTCCACTGGATTTCATGCATTCTGTCATATATGTTAAGGCCTATCAAGTCGTTTGTGTATTCAGGTGTTCCTTGGTGTGAGTTCATTCCTTAGCATCTAGTCAGCCTATTTAGAGTCATTCCTTTAAAGAAGACTAGTTCTTCCTCACCTAGCAGTAATTAGTTGCCAGTAGTTCTAATTCCTTGGTTAAGGACCTCCTGCCCATTAGAAGCCTTAGGTGTGGATGTGTCACTTAGGACTGGGAATCTCACAGACACGTATTCTCTGTGTGTGACCAGCTGTGGAACTCTGTAATAGTCTCATTCAGAAAAACAAATAAATGACTTAGCAGTACAACTGAAGACTCTGGAAAAGCAAGAACAAACCAAATCCAAACTTAACAGAAGAGAAGAAATAACAAAAATCAGAATAGAAATTAATGAAATAGAAACAAAGAAAATAATGCAAAGAATCAGTGAATGTAAGAGCTCGTTCTTTGACAAGATAAACAAGATAGACAAGCCTTTGGCCCAGTTAGCCAAAAGAAAGAAAGAGCAAATCTAAATGAACAAAATCAGAGATGAAAGGGGAAACATCATAACAGACGCCCCCCCACCCCCAAATCCAGAACATTATAAGGGAATACTCTAAAAACTTATACTTTATTAAAATTGAAAATCTAAAAGAAATGGATGAATTTTTAAATTCATAGAAACTACCAAAGCTGAGAAAAAGCATCCATATGCCTTGTGAATAAACTATGAGAATCAATGTCAGCTTATGGGATTTTTATTTATTTTTTATTTTATGTGTATGGGTGTTATGACTGCATGTGTGTAAGCGCACCCATGCCCATAGAGGACAGAAGAGGGTGTTGGATCCCCTGAAACTGGAGTTATGGATGCCGCTATGTGGGTGCTGGGATTTGAACCTGGGTCTTTTGCAAGAACAGCCAGTGCACAGAACCATTTCTCCAGCCCCAGGATTTTTTTTTTTTTTTTTTACTGGCAACTCTGATTGTCTCTATAGTAGGGTGACCTTCTTACCTAAGTCTTTGGATCTATGTGACATCAATTTAGCAGTGTATCTCTGAGCATTGTGCCCATGTTGGGCAGATGTTCAATAAATATGTATTGCTTTCATAAATGAACAGGGCCTATATTGATGATATATTAAAAAGTGTGTAAACTAAAATAAAAGTATTTTATGCAATTTTGTCTTATTGGAAAAACAACTTTGCTCAAGCTAGGAATGTTGAAAATCTATTATTTTAATGAAAATTCAACATATATGATAATAGTTGGATCTGTAATGAGTGAAAAGGACTTTAGTGACCCAAGGGCCCCAATCCTGAGTGTTCTGTAAAGTGCTAATTACAGGCAGTATTTACTGTGATGTTTACTGAATACAAAACATTTTATACTTATTATTAATGTATATGTTAAAAGGAAAATAATGTTTTTATTTTTCATATTTGGTTATAATCTATCTTCCTGTGGAGTGTTACATGGGTAGTGATGGGCAGAGTCAGGGTCGGTCGGTCTCTGAGTCAGATGTTCTTGAACTGCTTTGAGCACTGCTAATGTTTTAGAGATTTGAACTGATGAAAGCTCCATCTGAGAGGTTTCGAAATAAGGTAATCTCTCCTCATCTACTGTTTCCTTTAGAAACATGGCACCTTCAGATAGGATCAGTTATCAAGGGCTCGCCAAGCTGCTAAAGAGTTAACAGAAGTCACTGTGAGAAGTGCTTTGTTCTGCTCCTTGGCATCTTCTGAACTTTCCCATTTTCCCAGTTCTCTCAGGTCATTTACACATCAGTGTTTACAGCATTACAGTAGTTAGCACTGACATTATCTGGGTTATAAATATTCCTTCGAAGCTGCTGGAGTCTCAGTGATTGACTCCTCTGCCTTGGTGCGCCTGATAACATCAAGAAACAGAGGTTTCTTTTTCTCTCTCAGGGATTGTTATCTGCCAAGCCCTAAAATGAGGACACATGAAAACTGATATTAAATCGTTTTTGCCAAAGCAAAGGCCTTTGGAAGAGAATAAATGTGAAACACTCATTGTTATCGTCTCTTGAGCACTTTATTTGCTATAAAGACAAGTTCATACCACACAATGGCACCTTCTTCCTTCCAACATCCAGGATTACAAACAATTATCTCAAAAATGGTCTCAGTTCTTTAATGTGTTGTGTTAGATATTATTGAAACCTTATAAAAACAAGACTTGCTACAAACAGGATTGGTGTTTCAATGTATATTAAATGAGGTAAGATAATTAAATTCAAAAAAAGAATTTATAAATATTCAGATAAGAAAATTGAAATTACAAAAGCATAGTTTCATCATCATTAAACTGAATTACAACTGTGTGTGGTTAATGCTATATCTATGCAGCTACGTTTTTGTTAAAATACAATTTTAGTAATCAAATAGTCTACCTCATTCTCCAGTGTAACCACCTATTTCATTTGTAACACTCAGTACACATTTCATTCAGAAACCACCCATTTTCCCCTAGTCCAGCAGTTATGCACACACTTCTACTTCAACAGATGCAATCCACAAAGTGCCATCATCCCATGGCTAGAAAATAAAATACAGTATTTAAAGGTAAAAACTCAGAGAACTTCTGAAATGGTAACCCATTCTCTCTGTGTTCATGAAAATAGGCAATCCAATCTGAAAGTCTTTGAATCAATGTAAACTCTAGAAAACTCATGTTGAAGTATGGGAATAAGGACTCTGCACTAATATAGTGCATAACAATACAGTGTCAGACTCGCCATTTACAACAAATGCTTCGACTGGACTTTCCTCCGGATTGTCAATATGCGGCTGAAGATCAAGTTTACTCAAGTCTGTGGGAATTTTTTCATGTTTTCTTCCTCTCATTTCCAAACAAGAAGAGAAGGGTTATTAGGCCTCTTGGGAAAACCAAAAATGTAAAACACGCACACCCACAAACAACTTGAGAACATAATGGCGGGCCCAGTAGTCCTTGACTCCACATCCACATGAAGTTGGGACACTATTACTTTTGCAATAATTGTATTCTGCCCAAGGTATCACACCATGAGATTCCTCAAAGAACTGAGAAGTCTGAGAGCTACAAAAGAGAAGGCGGTTAAGGCAGCTGAGTTGATGTCTACATTTGGATTCCCTTTTCAGGTTACATGTCCAAGTCTCCATCGTAGGCCAACGTCAGTGGCTTCTGATGGCGAGGTGTGCTTTGATGTGGTTTTGGCTTCTTGCTGTAAAGGGAAAAGAGTTCTTCAGGTAAAGTTTACAGAGCTTTTTCTTCATCTGCCAAAGACAATTTTGAAGTATAGGAATCCAAATGGGAAAATTACAAATGATTCCATTACCTTCACTTGTAGGTTTTCTTTTTTGAATAGGTCATGTGACTCTTATCAGTAGGGATACAGTCTGAGAAACACATTGTTGGGAACTTTTGTCATCATGTGAACATCATAGTCTATACTTTCCCAAGTTAAGATGGCTATAGCATCACTGGGCAGTGTGATCCTAGGGTCCATGGTTGGCATATGTAGCCCAGCACGGATGCCACCATTTTTTCAAAACCTTAAAGATGGCTTAGTGGAATTGATGGACTTAGTAGAAGGGCTATTTTCCTTGCTTGCTCTTGTTTATACATGGCAAGGTACACCTGCTGCTCACTAATTCCTAAGATACTTTGATTTCTTCATCACAGATGTTCAACATTCTAAGTAGCTGGACTAGTCAGTCTCCTGTGTCTTGCTCTGGTCTTGTTTTTAAGCAAACATGCTTCTGCTCTGGCTCCACAGCTGATGTTTAGCCACCAACTAATCATAATCTAATAGAAAAATTTTGCCAGATATTTTTAAAACCATTCCCACCTGATGTCTGCTTTACCTGTGAATGACACCTTTATCAGCTAGAGGGAGGCTGCTTTTTCTTCTCATAAAGAAACTGCTACTCCCAATTCATATGAGGATCTACTATGCATTTCTCATCTCATTTCTTCTTTATAGCTGGAATTTTGTCAGGCATGCCCCCCTCCTCTGTGCAGATCCCTCTCCTTCCCAGGGCTTTACTTTATTTTGCCAGGTCTTTAGAACCTGATTCTCCTCTGGTCTGTCCTCAGCAGAAAACTATCTCTCTGCTGCTCTCAAACTGCTACATCATGTAGTTTATGATAGCATCTATTATTTATTTTTATTGAATGCATACTGAGTGCCAAGTCTGTGTTGAACATTTTATATTTAGTCTTTCAATAAATCCTAGCACAACTCTGAGAAGGAGGCATTAGGATTGTGGCTGCTGGACAAGCAAGACTAGAGAAATTTTCTGCCTTCTTGGGTCACTGAGTGAAGAGCCTGAATGTATAAAATCCAATACACATTCTTAAGCCTCCAACTCCTTCGCCATAGTCCCTTTATATATTTGCCCTTCACCTGGCACTTGTTAGAAATGACTTTTCTGTCTGTACATGGAATTAAATTTTATATATCCATACTGAATTTAAATTAAAAGCAAACATGCTAGTGTGTTAAATGCAGTAGCATTTACTGCGGCTGCAGTGTTGTCTACTGTCGTTGTCACTGGAGCGTCTACACATAGGCAGTTTAGCCCTAGCTGAGCAGCATCTCCTGATTCCCCTCCCGCGTTCCCTGGCAACCACTAATCAACTCTCTGCATCCCTGGATCTGTGGATTCTGGCTATTTCATTCAAATGAAAGCATACCATCTGTGGCCTTTTGTATGTAGCTTTTCTCATTTAATGGCTAAAATGGTGAATTTTATCTTATGTGAATTTTATTAAAATAAGAAAAGTTTGACAAAACCTGTTGTAGGGAGAATTTCTTAATTTAAAATGACTCAAGTCCTAATTTAAGGAACAAAATTAATTTTTCTGATAGATGATTAAAACAAGCTGTAGTTCAAGAGATAAAAGCGATTTTAAAAACTCCCCTGAAAAGAACCATACACCCTCTCAGCGGCCCTCACTTGGCACCTGACATGAGTTGGGTTCCCACTGAGGATTTGCTGAGCACTGGGAATGGGCTGCAGGCAAACAGCTTCCAGCCAGCGAAACTGAGGAGAGGCAGCAACGTGATTTAGAATCCTCTGCAGAGGGAGCCTCAGCTTTGGCATCCTGCTACCAGGCGTTCACCATTCTTGGAGGGGTATTGCATAATTACCAGAAGAGCATCCAATTCAACTTTATCCACTTGAATCCTAAGTATATTCTGGAGGCTTTAATTATATGCCAGGCTCAGCCTCTAGCATGAATAATAAACTCAGCTTGAAACAGTGTCCTGGGGATACTGATCCACAGCATTTAAAGGTGGTAAGAAATCAGAGGAGAGTTTGGGATCTCTTGGAAGTCACAGCTCGTGTGTCTACCTTGGTGGTATGTGTTGTTCTGTTGGCAAAGTGAGCACAGAGAATGTCTTCTAAGGTAACGGCAAAGTTCTTCCTCCTCCTCCACCTCTTCCTCCTGCTTCTCTGTCTCCGTGTTTCTGTCTGTCTGTCTCTCTCTTTCTCTCTTTCTCAGTGTGGGAAGGCACAGGGAATAGGGGTGAAGAACTGTAGATCCTACAAACAATTTTTGGCAGTCCATCCATACTTTGCATTTGCTAACATTTCCTAGTGAAAAGAAATGAGTGCTGGGATCTGGGGAGTGGGATGACTGAGGGGGCCGAGTGAGGAAGGTGCAGCACCTGCTAGATTTGTATCAGGAGGTAAAATCTGTGCCTGGAGACTGTAAACTTGGCTAGATTCTGTGATCTGGGCCTGGAAGATTCTGCTCAAAATGTGCATCGATGTTTTTTGCCAGCTCCCCTGTGTGGATTTGGGAATGCAGTGCCCACCTCTGACAGGAAGAGGGCTGAGACCTCAGTGGGCCATGGAGTGACAAGAGGTCACGAGATTAGGACTTTATTCAAAATGCATCATTTCATAGTGTGTAATATTTGTGTGAACAGATCCCCCAAAGTCTCACCTATAAATGTGTAAGACCTGAGAACTTTGGAGGTTTAAAACAAATCAGCTTCCTCCCAAACGCTAATCTCTGAACTGTTAAATACAGGTGCTTTGCTGGGCATCTGTGGATTCACAAAACTTCTAGGCCAGTTAAAAGGCTCCCTAAGAGGGAGAATGTGCCAGATGTCTGTAGGTAAGACCAGAAGCGGAGAGGCCTGTCTTATAGCTCTTGGCTCCCTTTCCTTCTGCTTTGTTGGAGTCTACTTTTTCCTTAAGAAATGTTTCTTTTTTCTCTCTCCCTAAACTTGGTGTCAGAAAAAGCATGATCTCCTTCCTGTCTCATGCAAAATCAGGACCTCCAAATGCCTGCACAGAGGCCACCACCACCACCACCAGTGCCTAGTTAGCATCACATTCTCCCTCCTATTGAGCCCAGTTCATCTTCCTACCAGCACGCACCTGACAACCACCACTGCCTGCAGAGTCAGCACAAGCATAAGGCCGTGCTTCCATCCTGACTCTGAGAGATCACTGAAAGCGCATTTTAAAATGACCTCTGCCAGAGACATTTGCATGTGAGCAAAGGATAAGAATGCATTTGGACAGATAAGTGAGTTCACTGTGGACAGACAGGCAAGCTGCTGGCACTTAGCGCCTTTGAATGCAACTCAGAAAGAACCCTGTTAGGCTAGCTGAGGTTGTGTAGTTTGATGAAAGCAAGAATTTTTTTTCTTTTTTGGACAGCTACCCGTGACAGACAAGCCTTTGGAAGCCAGGACAGCACTCTCAACCTTAGATGGAGAGTCTGTTACCAAATGTACTACCAGAATGGACGTAGCTATCCAGAGTGCCTTCCAGACACTATGTCCAAGTTAACCACAAGCTCATCCAGTGGGCAGCCTCACCAAATTCCTATTTGATGTCTATTCCCCACCACTAATGGTGCATGTTCAGAAGGTTGTTTCTGAGAAAGGGAGTTCTTAAGGAAATAAATTTTCTGTTTTTCTCAAAGATTCCCACACTTTATTATAAATTGCTTTCATTTAAAGCCTGAGACCTGGCATATTATAGAAGTTATCTTGTCCTAAAACTTTTATTTTGGTGGAAAATATAAAAAAGTTCCCAAACCTAATTGAATGAGATGATGTAAGACTGTCATCTGGATTTCTGCAGGCAGCTCATTTGTAGCAGTAAAGAGCATGTCTCTCCAGGCCTGTGGCTCACTTTACCTATGAAATGAAGTCTCTCTAAGGTGACAACTGAGACCCTGGCATTGTGACTCAAGAATCTGTAGGGTTCCTCAAGGGAAAGAACCGTAGACAAACCTGCACTTTGGATCTAGCCAAACAGAGAGTCGCTTCTATCAGTCAAGTGACAACAGAAGTGGCTGTCAAGTTCTCTACGGAACAGAGGTGATAGCAGTAACATCTCATTAGACAATTATGGGGACTAAGGAAAGCAACATATGTCCAATATTTTGTGCCTGACATGCAAACATTTTATCTTTTCTTTTCTATAAGCTCTAAAATCTTTTAATCTTAAAAAAGATTTTTTTTTATTTGTATGAGTACTTTGCTTCTGTATATGTAAATGCACCATGCAATGTCCTTGAAGGCCAGAAGGCATCAGATCCCTTGGAATTGGAGTTATGGATGCTTGTTAGCCCTCATGTGCATGCTGGGAACTGAACCCAGGTCCTCTGCAAAAGCAGCAGGTGCTCTTAACCACTGACCCATCTTGTCAACCCCCGAACTCTAAAATATTTACAAAAAACCCTGATGGATAATAAATTAGCTTTTATTAATCTAATTATTTATTCATTCACTTTTCTGGGTGTTCAATAGATATTGATCCAATTTATGTTGTAAAAAATCAATAAAACACAGTAATTACAGTCCTCAAAGTCTTTGGTGTTTGGTAGAGTTGGAAGATAGTTATACAAATACCTATGCTGTTAGCATGAAGCAAATGCCATAGGGAGGAGACACAGACAAGTTATTTCAGACTGCTTGACAAGGAGAAGGTTGGTATTTGAGTTTTACTGGAAGCATGGGTTGAATGCCAATAGCTGGTGATGAAAACCTCATTTTAGATGATGGGGATTTATGGAGCAAATCATGGATAGAGCAGTCTCTTTGGGAAAGTCTCAGGGCAGCACCCTACATACTCTAGTATGATATTATTATGTACAAAATATGATCCCTCAGCCTTAACTGGGGAGGAAGAAGGAAGGGCTATACAGGGGCAAAGAGAGGAAGAGACATAAATATTGCTCAAGTGGTGTAAAAAACTAAAAGGAAATGTAGCATTTAATAAGCCTACTGATAATATTATGAAGAATATCTTTGTTATATAGAAAGCTTTTTTTTTCTTCAATGGAGATTATAAATGAACACAAAGGGCAAATAAAATGGCCACTTTTCCAGAGAAATGTGAATAGACAATTGGCTGTTGGGATAAAACCTTTGAAACGGCAACATGGATCAAAGATACACTGTATCTCAAACAACATACATGGAAATGAATGTGGTCAACAGGAGGAATTAGACTCGACTGGGATTAGAGGGACTGAATGGGTGACAAGGAGGCGGATGTGGAAGCACACGTGAATGCTAAGTAGAATTATGACTGCAAAATTAGAAAAATCAATATTCTAGATGGAATATTATACATAGCATAGGCTTTTGGATGGGAATATACAATTAAACACATTGATTAGATATTTAAGGGGAACATTTTCTGTTTTATCTAAATAAAAATATTTAAGTTGGTCAGAATAAAAAAAGGTCTTTATGAGAAAATGAAGATAAATATATCTGGGCTGAAGCAACACAAGTCAGTCTGTCTAGGGGTCAGGGAACTGATAGGAGATGAAACTGAGACAGGTGTGTTTGGGTTTTAGTCATGAAAGACTTCAGTCAACTGGCTTGACAGTGAAATATGACTTTGATTTTCTCAATAAAACCAGACATTACTGAGGGTGGCCAGGAGGAGAGGGGCTGATTATCTGGAGCTAAATTTTAGGGAGACTAACATGGTCATAGGAAAGAGAAAAGATGTATAAATCCAAATGTGGGTATTTTATGCAATGTAATGTGGTCACTGAAAATATAAGAGGAAATTCTACTGATATTTTATAATTTAGAAATTCTCAATGAGTATGGTGGTGTACATCTGCAATTCCTGGATTCAGGAGGATGAGTCAGGAGGATCAACCTGTATTTGTGTTCATCCTGCTCTATCTAGCAAGTTTGGGAGAGAGAGAGAGAGGAGAGAGAGAGAGAGAGAGAGAGAGAGAGAGAGAGAGAGAGACCAAACCAGAAAAACAAAACACAGCAGACAGATATTATCAAGGGAGAAATGGGGAAAATGGGGACACTTTAAATGGGGAAACCATGGAAGAAGGGTTAGAGAGAGAGAGAGAGACCAAACCAGAAAAACAAAATCACTAGAAAATAGTACTAGAATTCTGTGGTGACTAAAAACTCTTAGATCTTGAACTTATACAGAGTCTTGCTAAATATTTGCTGTTGGGAGAGTGGATGAGGGCTAAAATGTGTAAGTTGGAGGAACGGAGGAAAACAACAAAGAAAAAGTTTGTTACTACAGGCTAGTTTTTAACTTCCTGGTTGAGGGCAGAGGGGACAAAAGCACCTGGGGTGGGGATCATTTGTGTTTATAGGCTGCCTGATAACCTGGTCCATATTGGCCAGCTGCCTGGAGAGCAGTGTCCTGTCTGTCTCATGTTCTCTATTGTGATTTTTACAATGTTCATTATGACTGGATGTCAACAGTACTTGCCAAACTTACCAATTGGAACACTTAAGCTGGTTCAGTCATCTGATTATAGGGTGAATGACTGACTGGAGATATTACCTCTGACTACAACACTCTAGAAACATTCACTGGATAGAAATCCCATGTCTAGGGATTCAATTTTGATTGCTATAGGTGGCAGAAAGAGTAAAAATCATGATTTTCTTCAATTTTTACTGACCAAGAGCAATGGTTTAAAAACTTGGGTAGCCTTAGAAACAAAATTTGAGGATAAGTATATAAAAGCTAGATTTGAATTAAAATGAATAAAAATTCCCAAGAAGTAGTTGATGAGACAGATGATGAATATAAATATCTCAGTTTGGAGAAAAAAAGTGAAATAACACTTTGATCTCATGAAAAAAATCCTTGAAAAGTTTTGCTTTGGAAGCTAGTATAATATTCTTCACATTCTTTAAAATATTCAGATTTATTTATGTATATCTAGTTTCAAGATCTGCTCATCAATTAAAATATATTCTGTACAATACACTACTTAAAGTTTCCCAAAAATAGGAGTTGGGAACAAATCACCTACAAAGCAGGGTCCCTGGAATTGATATCTAATTAGATTTTCTTTCACAGATAGCCAGTATAGGCTCTAGCATTTAAAATATATTAGCAGGTAAAACCAACTAGTTAGCTTAACATTAACCCAACCGATCCAAACAGGTTAAGAACCTAATTTAAGAATTAGAGTTATTTAAGTTAGTGTTCTCAGATTGACAACAGATTAGCATTACCTGGGGAATCGTGTATAATCCCGATGACCTAGACACACCCAAAAGTAACTGAATCAGAATCCCAGAGTGTGGAAGCTATTATCATCAGTGCCTAGGAGACACCAACATGCTTGGAACTTAAAACCTGTAGTCCAAACAAATGGCAAGTGCAAAAGTCCTGAGCAATGATTTGTATCTTATGTCTTCTAATAGTAATCAAAAACAAAATAAAATAATGTGATATCAAGGGATAACAATAATGATAATGTTCCTGTATTTCAACTGCTTAACCTTCCAACTGTTAAACACTATTCATGGTCTCAGGGCTTCTGTCATTATGCCTGATGTCTGGAAATATGATTTACTTTAATGCCATATGCATAAAAAAACATGGAGTAGAACATTTCACATTATTTGATACTTACCAAACAAGATAGGAAGTAAATACGAGGAAAATCATGATAAGAAAACTTCCACCTGAAACGCCATAAACCCACATTTTCACGTGGCCATCTGTTTAAGACAGAGATAACATAACAACAAGCTTAGCATCAAAGGTCTACAACATTTGGGAGGGAAAAATACATGCAGAGCAATACAATGTTTGACAAACCAGGGCTGATAACCAGTTCTAGATCTCAACAGGGGCAACTTAGCCATCAGACCACTCAGTGGGAGACATTAGCTGTGTTCTGGTGTGTTCTGTGAGCTGTCCCATGGAATCAGGTGCTGACAGCCTTCTCTTCTGAGCCCCAGAGGCATAGGAATTACTTACTAGAGGTAATATTTATGAAAAATATTGTTATACAATATTGTTGTACAATAACGTAAATTGTACAGCACTGTACCATTTGGCATGGACGTCTCAGATATGGTTTGTTTAATTCTGATCTTTAGCAAATTAACCCTCAAAAACATTAAGCTGTTAGACAGGTATGTAATCCCAGTACTCAGGAGAGTGAGGCAAAAAAGATTACTACAAGTTTGAGGCCACCTTTAGCTATGGAGAGACTGTAAAAATAACAATGAACAAACAAATAAATGATAAATAAATAAATAAGTAAATATATAAAAAGTTCTATAAGGTGGCTAATTTCTTTTTCACCCAAATTCTCTAATGTGCACAGCTGTAAGCAAAGATGGAAATACCCATGGGTTACCAATATTAAATGTAAAATAATGATAACAACAAAAGAGAAAACCAGGTAAAAATGGAAACACACACACACACACACACACACACACACACACACACACATATATATATATAGTCAACCATGCTTTTGTTCCTATAGTGTGAAGTACCAGCATCATCTCTTCATCAAACCCCAGGGCAGGATTTTGAACTTATTTGAAGGTGCTCACAGTCTTACACACATCAGAAGAAATTGTAAAACATTCTCACAACATAAAGGACAAAAACTATAATTATTTAAATTTTTAAAAAATTGTTATTTTTATTTTATGCATATGAGTGTATTGCATGCATGCATTATAAGTGCACCTGTGTCATACAATGCCTGTGGAGGTCATGGGGGCGTTGGATCCCCTGCAACTGGAGTTACAGATGGTTGTTAGCTTCCATGTGGGTGCTGGGAATCGAACCCAGATCCTCTGCAAGAGCAACCAATGCTCTTAACCACTGAACCATTTCTTCAGCCCCAAAAAGTGTAATTAAAAAGATAAGCATGCATTTTTTTCTAAAATAAATGCAAAGAAAACTACTATGAGCATTTTCAGTAGCTCTTCCTTCTGAATGAAATTACAACAGAAATTACATAACCAAATGGGAACCCCATAGTACATTCCCTCCCTGCAAAGCTCAGGAAACATCATGAAAGAGGAGATAGGAAGACTGTAAAAGAAAAGCCAGAGGTTAGAGAATATTGGGGCAAAATAGTGTCTTCTGGACAGGACAGGATATTTGCACTCAGCAGCTGTGGTTGCCTGCATAAGACATACACAACACCTACACAAAATCAAGCCAGTCAACATTCCAGAATGGATGGGGAGGAGCACATGAGGATCCCTGATCCCTAGCTGAGGAGATACTGACAGCTGATGGCTGCTAGAGGAAGGACAGTCAAGTTTCTTTAAGGGTGTAATCCCTGGTTGACCATGCTCCAATGACTAGTCCCATGCCCACACCTATATTGGCAGCACTGATTGGATTGAGTGGGTTATAAAAACAATTACATAACCAAAAATGTTAACAGTTCATCAAATTACTATAAATTTATGACCTTGTGTGTACAAGAGTTATAATTGGACTGACATAGTCAATTACCAGCAACCCAAAGAGGTGGCTTCTTTGTGAAAGAAACACCCAGGTATTCACCACACCTCTTAGGTCCACAGTACACATAGCAGCATCTTGTTCTAAAAACTTCTATAGGATGGACAACCACCCAAATCTATTGTGAACAATGCTTGTTTTAAATAATGTTCTAGTTTGTTTCTCAATTACTGTGACAAAATACTTTGACTAGTACCAACTTGCTCAGCCTGCTTTCTTATGCAACACAGGCCCACCTGCCCAGGGGTGTCATCACCCACCGTGGGCTGGGCCCTCCCACATCACACAACAATCAAGAAGATGCTCCACAGACAAGGCCACAGGCCAGTTCAATGGAGGCAATTCCCCAACTAAGGCTTCCTCAACCCAGGTGTGTCAAGTTGATGCTAAAGCTATCCAGCACAAATAGCATCACAATCTCTTTAAATGATGTTGCAACTAACTACAAGTTTTTGTTGCAAGTCTGAATCAGAGACTCATTTGAGATTGAAGTTCAGTGAAATAATATCTTTTTGTGATCATAAAACTCTTTAAAAAGAGTTGCTTATGATTTCTCTGAAACACTGATGATCAAATTCTGTATTCTGAGTTTTTATACGGACAACCATTTCTAGTCTTCCCTGAGCAAGAATGTCCTTCGTATCTCTTAACCCTTACAACTTCAGAGTTTTTAATCTTCAGATACTTTTATCCTCATTGCAGATAGATGAATGTGGTAGGCAGAATGCTTTCTTTAGAAATAATTTAATGATAAATTTAATTTAAAAAACATATTTTGTATTAGTATAACAACTAGAATAAAAACTATTTAAGAGATGCATAGTGAAAATGTCTTTCCATTGCTCCCTAACTTTCTTACGTGGGAGTGATCTATTCCTAATGTGTGCAAATCTTTTCAATCTTGATCTATATACGTAAGCATCTGAGCGCATACACACATGCACACACAAGCATAAATGTGTGCATCTTCTTTAAAAACAACAAAATACGCCCATTGGTCATTTGCATTAGCACTGTTTTTTCACTAACTAATGTAGGTTGGCAATATTTACCTCTAGTTTACAAAAGCAGACTCATCTAATTTCAATGTATCTAGGAGTTGGATCCTACTGTTCATTCATGGATTAGAGATTAAGAACTTTCTTTGTATATTTGAAGATCCATTTCCCTGGGACTTTGCTCTAATTATCTTCCTGAAAAGTTATATATGTGTGTTAATTGCAGATAAAACATCTACATTGCATATCATTTTCCCCCTAACTCAAATCTCCTAGGTCACTCATAAGGCTGATGAGATGTTTTTAAATACCTTAAGTATACAGGGTAAACAAAAGCCTTTAGTCCCAGCATTTGGGAGGCAGAGGCCAGCCAGGACTATATAGTGAGCCCCTGTCTCAAAACAAACAAACAAACAAACAAACAAACAAACAAACAAAAAACAACAAAAAAGTTGAGTAAGATGTGACACTCATTTTTGAGAACGTGGTGGAGGTATAGTCATCCTGTTTCTCCAATTAGATCTAGCATCCTTTCTACCTGATGCTGGTTTTTGCTTTATTTAAACATACTGTTAAGGCACATCAGGCATGGCCTGATGCCTCAGGTCTAGAAAGAAAGTTCTCAGAGTCATCGGCCCAAGCTATGCCTGTCTCTTCCCTCCCATGTCCTGTCAGTTATGTGGTTGCTGGGTAGTTTGAGGCGTTTCATTTCCTAGGGGAGGTTTGTGCGAGAGGCACAGAGATGCTTGGTGCTGTTTCTTCCTCACTTTGCAAAGTGGTACGTGAAGGTCTTCCTTACCTGCTTCTTGAAACTCACTCCTGTCACTTTCTGGTGTGACCCTGGTGAAATTACCTTGTGCTGCCACTTTTAGTTTCCTAATCTCTCAAACAGGGGTGATGGCATCCCATTATGTTGTAAGAATATAATGAGATGATTCGTGCCAGCAGAGCCACAGGGCACTCAGATGCATTCAGCATATTTTCTTTCCTGTCTTTAGTAAGCACTAATTTCTATCCATACAGGCTAGACACTCAGCTGTGTCCATGACAATCCTGCAAAGCAGATATTTCTAGACTGATTTTATAAGCAAAGGAACCGAGGCAAGAGAAGGTAGAAAGTTACACCTGTTCAAAAGCAGCAGTTCAAGTCACAGGGCCAGGAAGGCCTGCTCGCCCTGGAAATCGGTTGCTGTTCCCATTTCTCCAGTGCCTCTAAAAACCAGAGCAGGTCTGTGGGCATTTCCTGCAAGTTTCTGGGATTCTATTCCAATTTTCTTATTAACTTCACTTGAACACACAAATCCAGTCATAAAAGCAGCAACAATTCACAATTAAAAGATGTTTTCCCAAGATACCATTTTGTTCCTTAACTTACTGCCACTTAGACTATGATTGACAGGCTGATAAGCATCCATGAAAATGTTTTCCATTTAAAGGGAAATCGTGTCTTTCTTCTTTTCTCTACATTTACTTCTTTCCCTCTGTGTTTCCCACAGTGGATATGGTCACAAAATCAACTCAAAGTAAGAATATTTTCATTTCTTATTCCTAACTGAAGCACACCTGGATCAAGAGGTTGAAGAGACCATCCTTTAAAAATATCATGTATTTTTGAATTCACAGGTCTGTTTTTCCCAGAAAGATTTTTCACATCAGCTTTTTTATCCTCTGAGCTGGGTACTTTCATGCAGTAATCCAGGAAGCCATTCGATCTCATGATCTCTGTGTATCCCTTCTCACATCCACAGACTCCTCCCTATAGCACAGAAAATATTTTTATGGCTACATAGCAAGTTGTTCAGATGACTAAAGAACTGTTTAAATATCAAAATCCATTAATATTTACATGAATCATCCTGGAAGTTTAGGGGTTTCAACAACTGATTTACCAATGGGAAAAAAAATCAAATACATAATTCACCTTTCTGTATTCCCAAGTTAACATTAAATAGCTTGTCAGGTTTGTCTAATGTGTTTTAAATTCTGACACCTTCCAAGTATGAAATCACTGATCTTTGTGAATGAATAGAGTGTATTAATATGCCTTTCCCTCTTTTGAAAGATATTTTATGATAACCAATCAAATTATCTTTGAATCCCCTCACTTGTTTCAAGTATCTGTCCACAGACTCCAATTTTTTGTTCTTACTGAGAAGGAAAAATGTGGGACTTGTGTCCACACTTCCTTTGAATCTGATGGTGTCTGAGTTCTGTCACTACCCCAGATACATTACCCATGTCTTTATCACCCTGTACCATCGACCTCTAAAAGAGTCTTGACTGCCTTTGTGCTCATAGGAGGGAAGCCCACATGGAAGAAAGACACTTTATTGAAGGCACACGTCCAAGAACAAGATGTTATCATCTATCTCTCTCTCTAAATTACTCTTCCTTGTAGTAACACAAGTGTCACACTATATCACAACCCTATTTGACATTATGACAACGCGTTCTTCATATTTGCCTCTGCAATTCCTGGTCACTTTTGTGTGTAAGGAGTGTCACTGAGAAGCTGACTGTGATGAGGAATGAGAGATAAGGATTCCCGTATGTCTTAGGAAGTGAATCAGAAAATAATTTCTCTTAGTCCAACAGACACTGGAGAATCAGAGAAAAGAATAAGCACACAATTATCAATCTCCATGACTCTGCTATTATGGCTCTGTGCCTACAATTCATCTTCTGGCATTTTCTGAACATATCCTAGCCTTTTATGGTCAATCAGGCCAATCCCTACTAGACAGCTATTCCTATCATTGACTCAATACGATTTGAAGGAAAAATAGCCGCTAAAACTGAAGAAGGTGCCTTGGTGTTGTGCAGAAAAACAGGTGGCCACCAGAAAAGAAAATGCCCACAGTTCAGTGCAGGATGGAGTTCTATAAAATGTCGTGCATTGTCAGTTAATTGTAATTGAAGTTATCACATGGTGTTCGATGGAGTGATCTAATTAAGAAAACGAGTGTATGCCCAGCTACTAAAGCCATCTTTACAAGATGCATCTCTCTTCTTAGACTGAGAGAAGAGTTGTAACTAGTTAGTTGCATGTGCCAAGGGTTCAAGGAAAAGAGTAATTCATGTTTTATTAAAAAGAGCATCCAGCTGGGCATGGTGGTACATGCCTTTAATTCCAGCACTTGGGAGGCAGCGGCAGGCGGATCTCTGTGAGTTCAAGGCCAGCCTGGTTTACATAGTGAGTTCCAGGACAGCTGGGACTACAGGGAGACCCTGCCTCAAAAAAGACAAAAAAAAAAAAGAAAAAAAAAGAGCATCCAGACAATTGGTTGAAAGTGGTTTCTCTTTTGCAAACATCATCAGCTGGAAGGCTGATTTGGTTTAAGCTGCACAGCAATTCTTAGGCAGGGCTTTGTCCTCCAGGTTCCTCTAGATGGCAACGTGGGCATGCAGAACTGCTACCCAGCTGTAGCAGACAAGCACAACTTACTGCAAAGGTCTAGCACTGTGATACCTCTACAAGAGGCCAGTGTGTAACTCACCTGTGTGCAGTAGGAGAAAGGTTTTCTGCAAGCTGGAATGCATTGCCGAATAGCAGCAGGGCGTGCCTGAGGGGAGCAGCCTCCTACAAAAGAAACAGCAGTGTCATTTGAAGATTTATCTAGGATAAGTATATTAACATTTTTGTTGGTTTTTACCCTTTGACACTGGGTTCATAATTATTATTATTAACATTATTATAATTCGATCATTACTTAAATGCATGTCATCTAGGTGGTACGATCCTAGCTTATTAATTACTCTAGGATGTGGTCTTTAAAAGACGAGGTTTATGGTGGAGTTTTCCAATTGTTCATTGGTAATGAGAGCCTGGACCAGTACAAGAATTGATGAAATCTCCATTTAAGTTCAGGAGCAGAAAACACATCTGCTTGGAGACTCAGTCCACGTATATATTTTTCTAGTTCTTCAGTGACTCAGCTAAGCACTAGGCTGATTAAAACAGCTAAATGTTAAAGAATGCCATGATCGCCCCACGAGTCACAGGGCCAAGCACTTTGGCACTGATTTCACATGAACCAACTAGAACGAGCACACAGGCACATATAGACCCTCCATACTATGTGAAGGAGCATATGCACAAACTCTAGGACTGACAAGAACTGCCTGACAAAGCACTTATAGGTATTTAATAGATACAGTGAGGTATGTCTTCACAATCGAAAAGCTACCTGTATGCTGAGCTAGTCTTGCTTTCCTTGATTCAGAGCAATGATAGACATGGAAAGAGTTTTCAAGATAAGTAGATGAGAAGTCAATACGTTATTTAAGAGTAGTGCTTAAACTATAGTCATATGATGTTGGTCACATTCACAGGCTCTAGCTTTTGTAGTACTGTACTTTTCAACTAATTATTCTTTATGATGCTATCAAAACTGGCTTTGGACCCAAGGTTATATAGGAATAGTCAAACTTACACATTTCCTGGGAATGAAACTGCTAAATTATCACTATTACTTAAAAAGAAAACAAACAATACAACCCCAAATTAAAAACCCATGAAACCCACTACAGTTCAGAGTTAGTAGCTGAGTTTGGTATTGATCACATAGATGAAAACCACACAGCACTAGTTTTACCATTGTCTGGGGGAAAGAGTGGCCACTCTTCAAACCTGCTAGCTCCTAAGTGGATTACACTAATTCACATAGGTTATAAAGCATTTTTTCAAATTTTAGGAATGGAATTAGGCTCTAATAATATGTAGGCAGTGGTTCTGATGCCCTGAGCTTACCTGTCTGATGGCTGAATGCTATGTACTGAGAAGAACCACTGCGCCAGCCTTGCCCTCACTGCACCAGCCTATCTCTTACCACTGTGCACATTCTCAGCCCAATGAAGAATATGAAGCTTTTTTTAGCACCTGACTAGAAATATTTCATTTTCACAGTTTATAAAATGAAAAAGTAGCTTAAAATAAATTACTGTATGGATTAAACTATGGATTAATACCAACAATACATGGACATGTAAACAGGAAAGAGGAGGAGCTGGCAATTCTGTTGCTGTTACTCAGGCTTCTAGTCTTGTGTGAGTAAGCTGTTTGTCAGTGGCAGTACTAAGTAAAATCAATGTCAGCTTAATTTGCTTTGACAAGGAGGCATCAAAAAAATCTTTAGAATTATTGAGAAAACCATTTGTACAGTCAAATTGTATCCTCTTTTAAGAATAAGGAATCTTTCCTTGGTCTATTCTTAGACATTAAGTAATCTCCATAACTAATAAGCCTGCAGTGGATGAATACAAGCTTCTAGTGCTTAAAGCAAAAAACTATTTTGCATCATTAATACAAAGCATTTCAATTAAAAAATTATTTTTTTTAAATCTTCATTAACTCTTTTAATTTCAGCTTTGGAGAACAGCAGTGTGAGGTGCTAGGGCAGGATAAATGCTGACCATGCCCTCCTCGTGTGTTCACTGAGATGGTAAGTGGTTTAACATTTTAGAGATGACCATTTTCAACCTGCATCTACCTTCAGTTTTAGCTGAGGTCATGAACTTAGGGCTATTTATTGTTTAGCTTGCATATTTTATGGATCTTCACATACAGTTGTTGCTTTCGAAGATGTAAAAGCCTAATGAAAATCTGCCATGAAGACCTTCTAAGCTGCCTACCCTTCAACCCTGCTTCAATTTGTAAGTGAATTCCTCTCACAAAGAGCACCCTATGAGTCCTTTTCGAAGGCTCTACACAAGTCTTAGAAAGGAATACCTGTGACATTAAGGCCATCTGAGCGCTGGCACCACACTGTTCGTTCATTGTTGTTCCAGAGACTTGCTTTCCATATGTAGTGATAACATCTGCCGCCTGCAAGGGAGCATGATAACAGCGATTACACCTCACTTAAAAACAGAATAAGCAGTGATCAATCAAAGTTAAAGCACTGAAACATATTCTTGGTACCTGTACAGGGGCGTGTTTCTAGAACCTGTTGGGGGCAGCTGTCTTGGTTCTCAAAAGACTGAATTATAAATGTTCTTGACCTTGATTGGCGGCCTGTGGTCTCGAAGCTTCGTCCATCAATGCAGGTTAATTCACACTTGCTCCACTCTGACCATGGGGTTATGTGGCAGTCTCCTACAAGTTCGAATGGTGTGGGGTAGGAAAAATATTGTGAAAACAGGCACTAGATACCAGTGACAGGGCTGGGGATGCACAAGGCCCATGGTGGAAGTACAGGGATGTGGGCAGGTCCAGATATTAATCAATTTTCCAATTAGAAAGCCTATATTGATGTAATTTATAGTTTAATCTAGTATGACAAGGGACTGCAGAAACTAGATTTCCATAACTCTCCTTTAAGTCATAGTTCTCACAGTCAGAGTACAGCATGTGTTTGCCAGCGATAAATATTCTTAAAGGAAGATATAAAGATTAAAATGACTGTGTTCAAGGATCAGCAGATGATTATAAAATGGATATTCATAGAAACCATGTGAAAGAGAATAAGTCAGTGAAATGAAACATTTAATTAAATACTCTATGTACAAGCATATGTGTTTGCAAATATATATATATATATGATATAGTCATATGGTACATAATGTGTAAATATAAACTTATATATATGAATGATGTACATTTAAATATACATGTGTACATGTTACATATAAATGCACATGTGTATATAACATGCTATATTATAAGGAAATATTGAGGTACCTTAAAATTATTCTATATCAGCTAAATTGTGTTGCTAATATTAATATAAATCAGCATTTTATATTACTAATAATGACCTTCACATATACATAGAACCTGATTGTTCAGAATGAGTTCACATAGTCCCAGCCTTACTCCCACCATGCCATCTCCCAGGATCATTGATCCCGGGATTCAGTCAGTGTTCTAAGTGTTGGGCAATGTGGAAACACTGTTCCATCAACTTGTTATCTAGATGCAGAAGTCATTGCTCAGAGGGCCAGTGAGGAGAGATAAGATTTTAGCTTAGTTCTCGGATTTCCAAATCCAGTGCTGTTTTTTTCCCCTTTGCCTTCTTTATCTCGAACATAGCATTATGACACCCATAATTCAAAATTAATTAAATTTTACTAAATATCTTAATTTTGATATACTAGAGCTTCTCCAGGGGAAAAAATAAACAAGATCATGGTGGAAGGTGCTCTATTTAGGAGAATTGCACACCTGGGCAAGGCACAGAGCACGGCTGCTTCAGGATGTTGTCCTGGAAGGGAATTTCTCCACACAGGGCATCCTCCACACGGACAGCTGTGTGGGAGACTGATCCATCATGGACCACACAGGAAAAGCTGCGCATCTGGACTCCGTTGCCACAGTCTCCACCCTGAGGGAAGAAAGCATGCTCTCAGAATTACCCAATTAGCCCCTAAGGAAATCCTACTGACACTCAGTAGTCTCCTTCTTTGGGGAATTCCTTCTCAGCTGTTGACAGTAAAGCTTTATTGAGCTTCTGGAGCTGATAGAACAGAAGTAGAAACATAAATACATGCCACAGAATTTGTGTACTCAGAAGACGGCCATTCATTTTGGGACTCTGATAAAATAGACTAACCAAGAAAAACAGTGCATAATTTGTTCATATAAGAAAGGGCCCAATCTGCAACCACCCAACAGAGAACATCTATGGCCTTGGGGCATGAATTTTTCTAGTTTTTTTAATTTTTATTTATTTATTTTTTTAGAATCTGCTGCCTTCTCACACGGATCAAGTTGGGGAATCAAATACAACACCACCTTTTCTTTGTTGTGGTGCAGTGGTTTTTTGAGCCTGGCTTTTAGCCAAGGAATGTGCTCTGAGGGTGTTCCACGTTGATACTACTCAGGTATTCTGGGTAATGAGGGAGCTTCATACAGTGTCTCATAGGAATAGAAATGCACCATTAAAAGGCCTGGTGGTTATTGGGCTCAGCCATCTATGTGATGGATGTTTTCCTAATAAAAACCTCTCATGATTTAGGCATCTTCTGAATTTTAGTCAGGTATTCGTGTTTCAAAAGGAAGTCCATTGGAAATTTGGATAACCAGCTGACAGCTGTATTTTCTCACACATACCTAGAAAACAGAGCTCCAGGCAAAGCTTTAATATTAAGGAGATGCTGTACCAGGTTGGCAAGGGGAAGGTCAAGAAGAACTGAAGCAGGAAGGGTATGGAAGAAAGCTTGGGGTAGTATGTTATACACTGAATTCAGTTTCACAAGTAACTGCAATAAGCTTTGGTTGCTCCAGACTGGGTATCTCCCTGTCTCAGAACTACCCACAAAGGGCGGGGCAAGGGAGAGGCATTTAAATGCTGGCAAGTCCTTGAATCGTTCTCATTGATCAGCATTCATTCCAATATTAACTCTCCTATATTACTGTAGGACCTGGAGATCCTCTTCATTCAACCCCTCCTGACACCCCACTGGTTGCTCTTTTCAGCTTCTGTATAATGCTTGAAATGCCCGCCTGCTGCTACTCCTACCCCGCTATTTCCCTTCCAGGAAACTATAGATTAGATAAGTCCAGGCATGGACACTGCCCTATAGAGTAAAAATGAAGACTCCTGACCACACAGATGGCCAGCACATTCCACAACCCTGAGAACAACACCCACCAATAAAAAATCACCATGACCACATCCTGTACAACCGATCAGTTTAAAGGTGTGTTGGCGTGCGCGGGATTCTTGGACCAACCACAAAGTAACACTGTTATTCCCCTCTTCCCTTTGTCTCTAACCTATAATGAGCCCCTTTTCCTACCTGGGGCTCTTGGTGAGGTCTGAGAGCCCGAGCTTAAGCCTGAAAAAACCATAAACCTTTGCTTTTGCATTTTAGTGTATTGAGTCCTCGGTGGTCTTTTTGGGGTCCAGTGGATGAGGTACAACATTTGGGGGCTCGTCTGGGATTCCCCCCAGAGACCTCTGAGAGGAACCGACCCCAAAAGGTTTGTGATCAACCGGCCGGGTAAGTTTTTGTAAAACTGTGTGTGTGTGCCTGTCTTCTCTATACTTACACTTTGGTCACGGCCATCTGATCTCAGTTTTTCTTAGTTGCTGAAACACTAGTGAGGTGACCTGGAGGATTCGGGAGACATCCCCAACCTCGTCGGGGTGGGTGCTCCTCATTGGACACCCCACCAGGACACTAGTCCATCTGAAACCTCCGAGGACCTTGCGACCCTGTTGGGACATGCACGTCCTATCCATATGGTCTTTGGCATAATTGAGCTGGGGAACTCACACAGCCGAGAGTCCAGACCATCTGAAAGCTGTGGCAGCTTATTCTGGGCCTCTGTTTGTCTGTGTCGTTTTTGTGTCTTGTGCTCTTTGTTCTAATTTCTTTGTTGACGAAACGGACGGGACTGATAAATACTATGGGCAACACCCCATCTTCCCCTCTGGATCTTACACTAGTCTACTGGGAACACGTTAAGACGATTGCCCATAACAATAGTGTAGATGTAAAGAAGAAGAAATGGACAACTTCATGTTCGGTTGATTGGCCCTCCTTCAATGTTGGATGGCCCCCTGAAGGGACTTTTAACCTGAGTCTGATTTCCAGAGTAGAGGACCACATCTTCCGCCCACGTACGGGCCACCAGGACCAGATCCCATACATCGTAACCTGGCGGGGCCTCATTGAGTGACCTGATGGCCCGCCTGGGTCAAGTCCTGTCTTCCCCCGATTAATCTTGCTGCCCCCCCACCTCTGCAGGTTCTCTCAGACCAAAGGCGGCAGAGAAATCCATTCTCCAGGGAGGCATGGAGGAGAGCGACATCTTTCCCCCGCCCTACTCCCCTCAGATGGGCATCCCGCCAACAGCGCCACAAGTGCAGACCCCGCCTCCTAACCCTGAGGAGCCACCATTGCTTCTGCAGGGACCTACGCAGGCCACAAGGAGCAGGAGGGGGGCAGCCCTCCAGCCTGACACTGTTGTCCCCCCCTCTGGCCGGCCGGGCCCCCAGACGGAGCGGGCAATCAGCCCTTTCATTACTGGTCCTTTGCCACCAGTGATCTTTACAATTGGCGCTCACAGAATGCATCTTTCTCTGAAAACCCCAGGGACTTAACTTATTGGAAACTGTTCTTTTCACTCACTAGCCCACCTGGGATGACTGCCACCAGCTCCTGAGTGTCCTGTTCACTACTGAGTGAAACAGGATCCTGGAGGCAGCCCGGAAATTGGTTCCGGGCCCCACTGGGGACCCTACCACAGACCCAGGCATCATTAATGCCAGCTTTCCCTCTAGCCATCCCAACTGGGACTACAACACAGCAGAAGGTAAGGAGAGGCTCCTGGTCTATTGACAGACTCTGTTAGCGGGTCTCAAAATGGCAGCTAGAAAACCCACCGATATGTCTAAGGTCTATGATGTCAGACAGGGGCCTGAAGAGAGCCCGGCTG